GACGTAAGCAAGCAGCGGAAGCGCGTGAAAGTGCGTGTGCGAGTGGCAGAGGAAGCTGAGACGCGCCAAACACAAAGGTGGCGCGTGAAGGCGCGTGACAGAGTTTGTGGTGATGGGGGTGGTACCGTTAGAATCGTGAGGTGATTTCGAGCAGTTTCGTGTAGTGCCATTGTGTATGGGACTAAGCACCAAAAATAGAAAATCTCAGAAATGTAGAACTGTGCTCTGATACCAAGTTAATTAAATGTATAGAGAAAGAGAGAGAATAAATTGTGTATATATGTTCATTATAATTTACAATGTTTAGTATGAATCATTTATAGATGAGAGTTTATTCAATCAAAAGGACCGAAAGACGCACTAATGAAAACAACATCATTATGAAACAACATCATTAAAGATTAAAGCTATGCACTAACATGTACAACTAATACACTAACACACCTCAAGAATTAAAGCTTCAAGATTAGATGAGCACTGAAGCGAGTCTGCTAACAATTTCAAATTCCAGCAATTGTCACTACCACCACCACCAAAGCTTCAATTGGGTCAAATTATGAAATATAGGCAGCATATAATCATTAACATCGGCCTGAAACTAAACATGACATGAATAGACATATTACAATCCTTCTGCTAGGAAATTATGATATAATAGATTACTCATTTCAGAACTTAATCTTATGCATGAGGGTTTTACTTTGGTTTCATATTGGTTGTCCATATGGCATAAGCATTCTCCATTACCCAGGTTTAAAACCCATTGGACAATTGATAAAGCAAAATCATTATGGATAAAAGAAGCACAAAAATGAGTACATCAATTATTGCAAGTATCCTTTAAAAACATGATAAACATCACAACAACTGATGAGTAGAGAAACTTACAGAAAAACATGCATAAAAAAACTTAACATTTGGAATCCCACTTTGAAGCTTATATATGCAAAGACCATCATCAATGAAACTTACGTCAGTTGATCTAGCAAAAAGAGATGCTTTGGACAAACATGGTAAACTCCCAAACACAAAATCCCCTGTACAATAATCTGAAAAACAGATGTGCTCAAGTTGGGGGGCGTCTACCACAAGTTTGTACCCTTGATCATTTGATTCATCCGAGTCTTCATCATAATCACCCATGTAACAAATTACCGTCAAACTTTTTAATGTAGTCACAAAAACATTCAAAAATTGTATGTCATCTAAAAGCCACCTCACCATATACAATTTTTCAAGAACTCGACAACCAGATAACAGCTTCTGCAAGGAGTCTTCATTTTCATATTTAACCGAATCTAGGTTAAGATTTTTAAGACTAGGAAGCCAAAGTGAACCAAGAACATCTAGAAACGCACCACAAAGTGTCAGAACCACTAGTGATTTGCTATTAAAAGCATATGTGACAACTTAACATTAATCTCCATCATGTCGCAGAAATCCAGCTCTTGAACATTGCGCTTGATTGCAATAAAGATCTATGAACTAACAAGGTTGAGATGTATGAGTTTTCCAACCTTGATACGGAATTTCCCGAAGCGTGATGTGTCACAGACAAGCAATACTCTAATCATGAAATACTGAAATCTCAAATGAAATTCCTTTTGTTTATCTTTACTCAATAGGGTATGTTCGTGAAAGTAATTGAGAGGGGGATTTATGACCAGTTATGGGCCAAGCTATGGGCTGAGCTAGTTTAGGCTGTAGTCGAGGTCTTAACTCAGGTAAAACGAGGTTGCATGCTCGATTGGGGTCTTAACGTGGTTGAATGATGGACACGCGTGGACCGAGATCCTAGCCTGGTCAGGTTAAGGATCAAAGTTTGAAGCATTAGCTCGATCTGAAGATGTGCATCTTATCAAAAGCTAGACGGGATTTGTCCTTGGTATGCTAGGTTCAATCGAGCAGGAGCTTGTTGTGGGCTGGCGAGCTCAGTTGGGCCAACATTCAAGTCTATCTGTCAGGATCGGGTAGGTAACACAGTCTTGAGGGAAGATTGTGGCACCATACTTATAACATGGTGAAGAGTGGTATGTGGCATGATTGGATTACAGGAAGGAGGTTCTGTCATCCATACATGTCAATCCTGTTAGACGGTTTCACTATGTAGTGTTTGGCAATATTTGTACTTATACGTGGAAAAAGATGAGAGGGGAACATATACATGCATCAAAAGGAGGACGGATCGAGAGAAACACGCAGAAGCTATATAAACGGTGCTGCGCCTCCATGCATAAGTCTGGAACTTCTGGTTATCAGAGTTACCTATCCCTTTGTCTCCTCTTTCTCTTTCTTCTTCTCTAAGTGTGCTAAACTTGACCATCGGAGGGGTTTCCCGGCAACCACCCGCCGGGTAGCTCACTGTCACTGCTTTCTCAGGTTATTCGGAGTAAAGCAAAGCTTCGACACGAAGAAGTACGAAGATCTAAGAATATTTCCTCCTCGTACAATCTCTTCCCTTATATTACCTTCTTAGCCTAAATAAGGAGTTTTTCTGTCAAAACACCCCCCAGCAGCTTCCTCATCCAACCCCCCAAATAAAAGTGTTGCTACAGTGACTCCCTATTTGTAGGGAGTCACTATAGCTCCCTCATATCTAATAAATTCTTATTTTATTTGGAGGGCGCCAAAGACTCTTTGAAGAATCTCTTTCACTGGTGTTGGTCGCTCTTTGTTGTCATCATCTTATTGTTTATAAGATCAAAACTAAACTTAAATAGATGTTATTTCATGGACAAAACAACAGAAGAACAACAAACAAAACAACTGCAGCAAAGTAGGCGAACACAGCAGCCCAAACAAGGGGCCGGACGTCCAAAGAGATCCCCCCAGTTGACCGCCTTTCTTTGTTTTCGGCTATTTTATTGCTGCTTTGCTGGTGTTGTTTTGCACTCTATTTTAGGCCTATTTTGTGCTTGATTCTTGACTTGTTTAAACACCATTTCCACTCCAAAAATATGGTTCAACTGTAAGAAGCAATTTAATGATTTTTCGGTTAGTGGCTTTATCTTTAATTTTTACAATATTTGTGTATGTTTGTGACGAATCACCAAGATGTGTTTTCTGGTGGGAAAGGCTACTGCTGTTGCTCTTTTGGAATGGTGGGAGTTTTGTTGTTTGGTGGTGAGAGGCCGAAGGATTTGCTTGGGCAGTGTGGGGTCCACCTGATGCTTCTGCTGCTTTTGTTGCTTGAAAGAGTGCTTGAATTGGATATGTGTTGGTGGATTGTTTCTTTTGTTCTTTACATGATATGCTTCTGCTGCTATTGGTTTTTTTTTTTTTTTCTTTTGTTGCTTGTGTATGTTTTTATTATTTTATTATTAAAAAAAATCAAATTTAAAAGCTATTGAAAAGATTATTTTAATAGAATAGAAAAAGAATAGAAAGTTTGTTGGGAGAAGTAAATGAAAAAGTGATTTGAGAATAAATTTTTTAATAATATTTTAGGATAAAATATAAGTAGATTGATAAGGATGCTCTGAGGCATTTAGTCTTGGTGCCACAAAAAGTAAACAACCTTGGAAACCTGTCGACAGTCCAAACCAATGCTCTGTTCTGAGAATTCTTGAAGTAATCGGATGACCGGGGAGACAACTGACCGAACGTCCAGTGTGTCCCATCTTCAACGGTCCTGCACAGTAAAATGATGAAAAGTGGCCCAGATCCTCAGTTTAGTGAAACATTTGTTATTTTCTTAATTTGATACAGGTTTGGTGAAACTATTGAAGAACAAAAAGAGATACTTTTTTACCAAATTTGAATTTGATGATGGATTTGTTGAAGCGTTGGAGATGGCCTAACAATCCACATATTAACAATTTCCTCACTAACAATATCATCTAACCTAATCCACCAAATAAATATGGCCAAAACTCTTTTCAAAATTCATAATCAAACAAATTTTTTCTTTTCAAAACTCATAACTCAACCAATACCTCTACACTCAAATCATGATTTTAAAAAAAAAATTTAAAAACAAAATAAAATAAAAAATTATTTTTTTAATCTTTTTTAAAATAGAATTTCCCTGGCATATTCTCGGTATCCAAACGGAGAGTAGAACATAAAAGGGTGTGTTTGGTTTGTGTTTTTAGATAAATTTTCAAAAAAAAAACATTTTAGGGAGAGTTTAGAAATTTTTTTAATTTGTTTGGTTGTATATTTTGAAAATAGTTTTGGAATTTGAGAGTTTGGAATGATTTAATATTTTGTTGTAGTTGAGTAGATGTGTGCGAGGGAAAAAGTTATTAAAAATGAGAGGAGGAAAAAAAAAAAAGTGATTTCTTGATGTGGAGGAGAGAGTGATTTTGGAATTTTTTTTAAAAAAAAATTTTGAACCAAACAAAATTTTTAAATTTTTTTTCAAAAATTATATCTTCATATACAAATCAAACAATCCCTTCAGACGAGAGAGAGAGAGAGAGAGAGGAACCTGGGTGACGGAAATCTCTGCAACTTCAATGGCAGGGGACGTTAGGGCTAGGGATCCGACTTAAAACGCGCGCTTCACCGCATTGAACATTTTGCCTCATTTTACATTTTGCTAAATAATAGTAAGTAAATAAACCCACCTCTAATAAAATTACATATAATCTTTGTTAGTCATTTGTTAATCATATATATAAATTGTATTTTAATCCAAAACTCAACAGAAAATTATATTAATTAACATAAATAAATTGATAATTTAGATTAAAAACAAATTAAATATTTAAAATTTGAATTGATAAAATTAAAATTTTAATTTATTACCATAGTTAAATCTGAAATTCTTTCATAAATTTTCTCCTAAATATTATATGTGCAAATTACACATCTTATGTCATTTTGATTCATGCATTTTCAATTGACACAAGTTTCACCATTCATATCAATTTAAAGAAAAATAATCACTAAATTCGTTAAAATTAACTCACTGAGTTGAATAAATTTATAATTCTGCTAATAAAAAAATGACACATGCCACTTATATACATATTGTTCATAAAAAATGTCAAAAGTTATAATTAATTGCACTAAATTAAAACAAAATCAAAATCGAATCAATTAAAATTACAATAACCAAAATAACAAAAAGGCTACCAGATATAATTTGTCCATATCATATTCAATCTTTATATCACCTTACATATTCAATCTTTGTATCACCCAATAGCACACTAATTTAAGCAGCCAAACGAATCATAGGCAGAAAGGAGAAACTAGCAAATATTTTCAAAATAAAGGAGTCCATGGTTTTATAGCAGAGAGTCTACCAATGTTGTTTTCTGGTTCACCTTGTGTTCATCATTCCAATTTTTAGGTTGGTTTTCATCACGACACACAAATTTAAAACTCATCTTTTCCATCTTACGGCAGCCTCCATCTGGCATTCGTTTGAGCACCTTGGTAATGATATTAATTTCTTCCTAAATATTCAACTTCTATGCAAAGACTGATTTTCATCTTCTGCAAAACTTCAGAGTCTCCTACAAAATACTCTACCAGCTTGAGCTCATCCTCCTTCCCCCTGAACTTTGAAGGTGTAATGGCAAACAAATAGGTATATACTCTAGCAGACGACTCCCAAATGTTGTATAGCAACTTCTATGTTCTGAAACCCCTGTTTGACAAAAGAAATCGTTAAGTACACTAGTCAAATTGCTAAATTAACAAAATACTTAACATCTTAATGTACCTTCATGAAGACAAGAACTTCAAGGTTAGGTGAACTTTCAATCAAGCATGGCAACAATTTCCACATGCTAAAAAGCAGTTACCACCTAGTCAATTTTGTCAAAGCATGAAGAGAGCATCGAATGACAAGAACTATGAAGAACCAGCTTTCAAGATGAGAATAATTATCTAAAATAAAAATATATAAATAAACCCTTAATTAAGACAGTTAAACTAGAGAATCCGACAATTATTTCCACATGAAATATGGTTTTAAGAGTGACAAAGAACTCCGGTTTGGACAGACAAGACAATGATATTAGTTTTAACATGATGAGAGAGTGAAGGACGCTCGCCGCCATGGTAAAAGTTAATAAAACCAGAAGGTTAATGTTAGAGCATGCTGCAACAAGCACAGCTACATTTTCATGATAATATGATGTACAATGGCCTTCCAATTGTCATGCATGAACCACATTCCTATTGATAAACATTTCGTTAGGAGGCAGCTTGTCCCACTAATAAGGATTTGGGACACTTACTAATCAGTTTTATTAACTAGGCTTAGTTACCTATAGGTCCTGATTGATAAATTTATCATTGTAAATTTATTCATAAAAATAAAAGAGACTCACTTGATAAATTTATTAATAGGACTTAATGAATGATAAGTTCGAAAAGTAAGACCTATTGGTAATTCACCTTAAAGAAATTTTGAAGATGTTATGAAAGATGCATGGCCTTCATCTCCTCAGTCCATTTCTTATGCTATGGAAAATTTGGCTGACGTTTTTACAGAATGGATTGTCTCCCACTTGTTGCAATGCCTTTTTTTTTTTTTTTTTTTTTTTTTTGGGGGGGGGGGGGGGGGGGGGGGGGGGAGAAGAAAAGGAAATAAAAGGAGAATCCTCGTTAGGATTGCAGGAATTCAAAAAAGCCTTGGTTTGAGACACAACGATTTTGTCATTAATTTGGAAAATTAACTATTTGTTGAGTACAATAAAGTCTGTCATTCATCATAATCATTATATTTTTCGTCGTTTCTGTCTTCTTCTTTTTTCTTTTTCTTTCTTTTTTTTTGGTTATTAACCATAAGGTATGAAGCTATTCAGAGAATCAACTTGATATCCTTGACATAACAATAACAAAAATAAAAACAACAATAATAATAATTAGGAAGATTAACTTACAAATTCAGAGAAGAAGATGAAGTTGACAAGTCTTTGAGCCCCTAGGTAATGCTGTTAATTCCCCACAACAGCAATCGTCTAAATTTTGGCTGTCAATTGTCATCTTCTTTAAAACTTTAGCATTTTTCAGCAAATACCCTATCACTCTAAGTTCATAATTTTTCCCGCTAAATTTTTGTATTCGAATTTTCTTGAGATGTAACAACAAACAACTAGGCACTTCTTGTGGTGGATTCCAAGATTTGTCTGAAGTATCAAGTACATTTCCCTGCAGACAAAGAATACAAAAGCCATAAACTTCGAAACATTTCTAACTAAATCTTGCAATAAATTTGACACACCTCAAGAATAAGAGTTTCAAGATTAGGTGAGCACTGAAGAAAGTCTGATAGCAATTTCAGATTCCAGCTATCGTCACCACCACCACCAAGCTTCAATTCGGTTAAATTATGGAACGTAGGCAACATATAATCATCGACATCAGTCTGAAACTAAACATGAGATAAATAGACATATTACAATTCTTTTGTTAGGAAACTATGATACAATAGATTACTCATCTCAGAACTTAATCTTATTCGTAAGGGTTGTACTTTGGTTTCATGTTCGTTGTCCATGAAATCATAAACAGTCTCCATTACCCAGGCTTAAAACCCATTGGACAATTGATATAGCAAAATCTTTAAGGACAAAAAAGAAATAAGAAAAGTGAATATATGAATTGCTGCAAGTATCCTTCAAAAACATGATAAACATCACAACGGCTTAGGAGTAGAGAGACTTACGGAAAAATGTGCATCAAGAAACTTAACATTTGGAATCCCACTTAGAAGCCTATATATGCGAAGACCATCGTCAATGAAACTTAAGTCGGAAGATCCAACAAAAAGAGATGCTTTGGACAAAGATCGTAAATTCCTGAACAAAAATTCATCTGTACAGTAATCCGAAAGATAAATGTGCTCAAGTTGGGGGGCATCTACCACAAGTTTGCATCCCTGATCATCCAAATCTTCTAAGTCTTCATCCTGAAAATAATCTCTGTACCAAATTACTGTCAAATGCTTCAATGTAGGCACCGAAATATTCAACACTTGTAGTGTATCCAAAATCCACCTCACCATATACAAATTTTCAAGAACTGGGCAACCAGATAAGAGCTTCAGCAACGAGTCTTCATTTTCATATTTAACCGAATGTAGGTTAAGACTCTTAAGACTAGGAAGCCAAACTGAACCAGGAACATCTAGAAAAGCTTCCCAAAGTGTCAGAACCACAAGCGTTTTGCTGGTGAAAATTGTATGTGGCAACTTAACATTAGTCCCAACATCGTCTCTGAGCTCCAGGTCTAAAACTAGAACATTGCGCTCAATTGCAGCAGAGATCCATGTATCAAAAAGGTCGAGATGTCCAGGATTTCTAACCTTGATACGGAATTTCTGGAAACATGGTGCATCACTAAGACGCAATACTGTATTCATGAAATCCTGAAAGCTCAAATCAACTTCTATTTTCCTCTCTTCACTCAATCGAGCATATTCGCAAAAGAATTCGTTGTCATCAAAATCAAGTTTAGGAACAGAAGTCCAGAGGTTACGCCATCTTGTCGACAGAATGCTGGTTCCAACTGCATTTTTTGTTGAAAGGAAAGAAAGAATGTGGCACAGAAGGGCATCGGGCAACTTGCTGATCCTGTCTTCACTCTTCCCAATGTCTGAATCCATTACTTCAATTCACTAATTCTTTACCTAAAATATAACATATAATTCTAAATTAAACTCTTTTTCCAGTTGTACATGCAAACCCACCCCAACAAAAACATACAAGTAAGATACAAATAACCTAATTTAACCCATTTTATAACAATGGACTCACATTTTCATTCCATCGTTTGTTTGGTAGCAAATTTTATTATTTGGAATAGATTCCAATGGCCATTCTATTAAACAAAATTGACAGATTTTTTAATCCTATGAGTAATAACCCAAAACATACATATAATTGGAATTATATATTTCCATATCCATTGCAAAAAAAAAAAATAAATAAATAAATAAAATTCCATGAACAAGAGAAAATTGTTATATATCTCACAAAATACAAATCCAGCTGGATAACCAATCCCAAACTAATCTCATGATTGTTAATACTCTTAACTATTAATCCTGCTAATCAAAGAGGCCTTCAAATTATTTGTTTTATGAGCAAGAAAAAAAAAAAAAAAAGAACAGAAAAAGTAGAACTATGAATGTCAAAAAACAATCTCTCACCACAGCACCTCGTACAACATTTAAGACACAAACGAGCATAGTGTAAAGAATTCAGAATTCGGAATTTTACTTTCGGAAGCCAAATGGAGCTAGAACATACTATACCAACACAAATAAAATCTTCAGATCAAAGAGAACAAATGGTACAAAAACGAAACGAAACCAACCTGGTTAATGAGGGGATCGGCCACCAATGGGTTCGGATGGTTTTTGAGGACGAAATTCGCTGCAACTTCAATGGTTATTAGGGTTAGGGTTTCACCCGACGAACCTCATAGTCACTTATCTACCATGGCTGTCGGGAGTATACTTTGCACCATTTGTGTTTTAAATATATTTGACTCCAGTCCCCTTGAGATTTATAAAAATACACTAAACTCCACAAATTTAATATAAATTTATTATAAAGAAATTGGTAAGAAGTCTAATTTAAAAGACATTGGATTTAAAGTAAAATTTTATTTAAGGATAAGGATATGCCATCAGTGCCTGAAAAAGTTGCCAGGAAATATCATCGGTGCAAAAAATTTTGCTAGAAAAGTCACCAGAAAAGTTTGACAGTTGCGGCAGTTAGTGGTGATGAGATAAACAAATGTTTGATTTTTCAATAGATAGGTGAGGAAATATCATTTTGTCTCCCCAAACTATCACGAGTTTTTCAATTTGACTTCCATATTTCGATTAATATCAATTTAATGCCTGAACTTTCAAAAAATTGATCAGTTTAGCCCATACCGTCACATTTCGTCTACAATTGGACAGAATATGCTGAGTTTCACCCTAAATTATCTTTTGAAGGGAATATAAGAGGGTTTTGCTTACAAAATAAGTTAGTGTGATGGACGGTTGAACTAGGGCTTTGTTGGGATCAAAATCGCTTTTAGGGTTTTCAAATGCCTTAGACGAAATCGAAATCAAAGTTTATTATTGAACGAAGAACATGAACTAACATTGAATCATGGGTTGTGTTCGAAGAGAAAATAATGGCAAGTGAATGAATTGACCAACTGTTTATGGTATTTACTTTTAATATTTGTTTATTTTTTTAGCTAATGATTATGAAAAATCGATTTCTGATATAATAAATCTTTGTCTGTTGTCTTTGAAAAAGATTTGTTTAATCGAAATTGTTTTACTTAAATAGTGTAATACTTGATTAATGTATTAGTTTAATCAGTCCTTAAAAGAAACTCATTTTTTATGTAATGCTTTTTAAAAATCAATTTACCAAGAATACAGACAAAGATTTGTTCTTTTTGTATTCATATATGGATTTGTTAAATTGGAACTGTCTTACGGTAATAGTTGTTTACTACTAATTTTATTAATTTATTAGTATAAGTAGTCCATAATAGCATATTTTTTCATTTAAAAAATGCAGAGAAAGAATCTTGTTATTTCACAATCAAAATGCATCATGGGGGTTTGGTTAGTTATAATCCTCAGAGTGTTTATAGTGGTGGATTTATCAGTTATTTTGACTTTTGTAATTCTGATGAAATATCAATTGTGGAGTTAGATAATATGGCCAAGAAAGGAGGATGCAGTGGATGTAATATCTATTACTATAAGGTTAATCATTGTGCTAGGTTAAAGTTGATTAACATTGATCAAGATGTAATGAGGTTAGAGACACTTGTCGATGAAGACAGAGTTGTAGAGGTTTATGTAGGTTGTTTAGGAATGGATGATGTTATAGGTGCCCAAGTTAATCAAGTAGGGTCAAGTGCAAAAACAAGTCAGAGAAATAGAGTACTTGTAGATATACGGGTAGCAGAAAAGGAAGATAGTGATGACTATGATCCTAATCCCTCAGACTCTTCATCATCTGATGAGTTTGAGAAATATGAGGATAGTGACTATGGATTTTCTGATGATGATGCATTGTATGAGACTAATATTGACAAAGATCTAGAGTTTGCTGGTGTAGGAAGTAGTAAGAATGTAATAGCTAAGGCAGTTGATGAGCTACAAAGCCTTGGAAGCTCTTCTAATGAGCTAAGAAGTATTGATAGCTCATTTGATGAAGGTAGTAGTTCTCATATAAGGAAATACCCTATTTTTAATGTTGAGTCTGATATGCACAATCCTCAATTCAAACTTGGTATAGAGTTCAAGAGTCATGATATGTTTAGGGATGCTGCGAAGGAGTATGCAATTATGTGAGGCAAACATATAACATTTACTAAGAGTGACAAACAAAAGGTTAGAGCAGCGAGCAAAGTTTGTTGTCCTTGGGTTTGTTATGCTTCATATGTAAAAAGTGATGGGTTGTATAGGATCAAAACACTTGTTGATCAACACACTTGTAATAGGTCTTTTAATATGGCATATGTGACTTCCAAATGGATTGTAAAGTGGTACTTTGAATAATTAGGTTAAATCCTACATAGCCAATTCAGTCATTGGCAAACACTATTTCAAGTGAGCACAATGTCAAGGTTGACTTACAAAAAGTGAAAAGGATAAGAAAAAATGTGTTGACACTGGTAGAGGGTACTGTAGCTGAGCAATTTGCATTGTTATGGAGTTACATTAAGGAGATTAGGAGTACCAATCCTGACACAATAATGAGCATAAAGGTGAAACAAATTCCAAAGGTTAATGGAGGGAGTAATCGAAGGGTTAATGATAGGAGCAATACAGAATCAAAGTTCAAAAGATCATACTTGTGTTGGGGTCCATTAAAGAAAGCTTTTATGAATGCTTGCAGGCCAGTGATAGAAGTTAATGGATGCCATTTGAAAAGGTCACATGGTGGTATTCTCTTGATTGTTGTTGGGATAGATGCAAACAATTGCATATTTCCATTTGCCTATGCAATTGTTAAGAAAGAGAAGAAGAAAACATGGTTGTTGTTTCTAGAGCTGCTAGGACATGATCTAAATATTGTAAATTCTCATTGTTATACCTTCATGAGTGATAAAAAAAAAAGGGTTTGATTGATGCAGTGGATGAGTTGTTCCTAAATGATTCACGCAGGTTTTGTGTAAGACATTTGTACAACAATTTTAAGGGTGAACACAATGGGTTGGTTTTGAAAGATCTTTTATGAAAGGTTGCTAGGGCAACTACTATTCCTGTATTTACCAAAGTGATGGAAGAGATTAAAGAAGTTGATTGTAAGGCATATGCTTGGTTAGTACAAAGACCACCAATTCAATGGAGTAGAAGTCACTTAAACACTTTTCCAAAGTGTGACATTTTACTAAACAATTTATGTGAGTGCTTCAATTCAAGCATCTTGGAAGTTAGGAACAATGTTAGAGAAGATTAGGTTGTTGTTGATAGAAACAGTTAAAAAAAGAAGAGATGCAATGCAAAAGCACAACGGTCTCTATATGTCCTAAGATTCAGAATCAGTTAGAGAAAATGAAAGTGGATGCAGCTGGATGGATTCCTAAATAGAATGGTAATGAGTAATTTGAGGTTGTAAGGCCACAAAGTGAGCAATACAAGGTGGATTTACAAGCTTAGAGTTGTGGCTGCAAGAAGTGGGATCTGTCAGGCATTCCATGTGCCCATGTTGTGGCTGTTGCAAATTACTTGGGCCAAGAACCAGAAAAATATGTTCATCAGTACTACAAGGTGGAGACTTATATGAAGATCTATGACAACATGTTGAGCCCTATTAATGGTAGAGAAATGTGGCCAAGAACTGAGTATGCAAATGTGCTGCCACCTGACGTGAAAAGAGAGCTTGGAGACCTAAACTAAATAAAAGAAATGATATTGAGGCACCAACTAAAGGCACAAAGCTAGAAAGACAGGGCACTAAAATGACTTATAATAATTGTGGGAAGGTGGGGCACAATAAGAGAAGTTACAAGGTAAAAGGCAGATTCAGCTACATGCAAAAAAGCCAACCTGAAGGAAACCAATCTCAGGAGAACCAAACTGAAGAAAGCCAACCTCAAAGTTAATTAACTGCCGAAGGAAGTGAGGTCAGGCCACACAAAAGACAGAAGAAACTAGTTGTAAGTGTAGTAATTTTTTATAAAAATAGTATCTAAACTGTCCTATATTTGATTGTGTTTAATTGTGGATAATTCAATCTTATTGCAAGTTAAAAGGAGAGTGGTACAAGAAAGTCAGTCAACTCCATCTCCAATGAGTTCAACTAGCACACCAAAGGAGGGTCAAATGATGTGGAAAGGCAAGCTAGTGTACAATGCTAGTGGCCTTAAAACAACATCCACTAGACAGAAAAAGGAAGCACCTGGCAATTGAATCCACTGTATAGAAGAAGGAAGCATCCATTGCACAAAAGATTGAAGGTTTTTTGTTTTTTTTTTTTTGGATAGAAAAATGAAGCATCTACATTACTTTGTCATTAGGGCTTTTTGTAAATGTAATGTTTATTTGTTTGGAATGGTTGCCCCGAACTTCTTAACTATGTAAAGGTAGTGTTTTGGTTGCCACAAATAATTGTGTTTTCGAAACTTGAATGACAAATTTATGAATGTTGGTTTTACGCATGATGCTTTATTTCATGGATGCAACTCTGATTCGTATGTAAATTTAGGTTGTGTTGGTTTTGGTTGCCATTTGATGGATGGATGCCATATGATGTCAATTCAGTAAGTATTGAATGGATGCAATGTATCAGTGATGTCAATTGTGTGTTTTAAAGATTTCAATGACAAATTATCAATGTAACACACAATGCTTTATATAGGTTTTTTATTCATTGGTTGCCATTTAATTGATGGATGTCATTTCAAGGGGCCATTCGAAGAGGCCACCAATTATTTTTTTGTATTTTATTTTTTGACTTAATGGTGACACTGTTTTTCTTTTTTTTATTAACTGATAATGCTCTGTTTTTGTAAGGGTGAACACAAATTGTTTTTTAAGAGACAAACAAATGGTGTGATGCTTTGTTTTTTTTAGAATACAACCTTAACACAAAATATGAAAGTTTCATTCAAAATACTTCTCTTATTACATTTCATTCATAATATTTCCCCCTATTACATTCATTCATTCATAATAGTCCCCCCATTACATTCTTTCTTATACGACATTACAAACCACATTGATAAAATGATGCACCATGAGGCAACCAAGCATATCCATACCTTTCTCTCTCTTCTATTCCTTGGCTGTAATCTTACTTCTAGCTTATTGACCTTCTTCAACAACCCAAGGATGATTTGCATTGCCCGTGAGCACATAGGTGGGTCTACCCAGGTGCACTGATTACGACTATTGCTGGGACAACTAAAGAACCTCCTACAAGGACTTGCATCAGTCCATGATGTTTGTATTGTTGGAAAATTTGAATTTAAATTTACTCAAATGGTTGTGTCTCTTGGGATGAAAGGGTGTGTCC